GCATGTTGAAGTAACCTCCTTAACTGGTGGAATAAGAAGTTAACTCCATGTCTTGCTTACTGTCAATAGTTAAACCTCTGTTAATATACTGGAAGCGTAATACATGTCGCACTCCATCACCAACATCGCTTTCCCCGACAATAGAAGATAAGCGGCTCTGGTGAGAATGTATTTTCTCACAGCCAAAACATAACAGTCGTTTGAAACCCGCCTTGTAATCTCGATTAGTAAAGCAGCAAATCCAGGGATTTACACAGGAGTTAAACATGGCGAGAACTATGGTGAAGTGATGTAGCAGAGTCTCCGCCTTGGTGATGTCAAACGCGGAGAGGGTGTAGAAAACTTGATTTGGAAGCCAAGATATAGTTAATAACAATGCTACTATAGCACACATGCGTGTAAGCTTTTTTCGAGTGTTACGAAATCGTACATTGCGTTCTGCTGGTGATCGCTGGAGGACTTTAGCGACATGAAGGAATGACAACCAAGTTATTGCTGTTGGTATGAAGAATGTTAGCGTTGTATAACTTGGTATAAATATCTCTTTGGGGTATGAAATTGCACTCCATTCGCATCGCAAAGACGTATCGTTCAGTTTGGCTTTAACTGGCTTTGAGCCATTAGCAATACCGCTTATAAGCCAGATAGAGGCAATATAGATGTAAATTCGCTTCCGCGTAAATTTCATTTTGTAGTCGATTGGTTTTACAACCGAGTACCATCGCTCAAGGGCTAAGGCCACTATTGTTAGTACGGAGACTTTACCAAACACAAATACGAAGTACTGGGTACTAATTAAGCGGCAGAACAGCTCCCCGCCCAAACCGCGAGGGGCTGGGTAGGAACTGAGTCCGATAATGTAACCAGGTGTTGCAATGATGAACAGACCTAGGAGAAAAAATATTCAGCTGTTGTTCATAATGATTTATATTCTCATGCATATACAAGTACACCCAAAGGAGATTTTCATTATGTTTGTCAATCTAGGTGGATCATCACAAATCATAAAATGAGCGACAAAAAAATGCCTCTTCGGTTACTAGAATGTGTATATGTTGTGGCTCCAAAATTTTACCCTGGTTACTCTTGGCATAGTTTGGTATCTTCTTTGTGCTATATTCATGATCATATATCACCATAGACCAGAAAAATACCCAACTGTACTAGTGAGTAAATTGAACCACAAATATACTTGTACACATTCAAAGTTTTTCTTTCATTTATAATTAACAGCCCTTAGTCGTTAAACCGTGCACAGCCGTCGTTGTAAATTTCTCAAATTTTCTGCCTCACCTGTCCTTTTCAACGTCGGCGTTAAGTTCCTTACAAGCAAACAACAAGTTCACACGTAGTATCCCTTACTATCACTAAAAACTCGTTTTGTTTCGCATTAATTTTGTTACAATCCCCTTATCTTGCTTACGGTCGCTTTACGTTTGACATTAAGTATTCTTGAATTGTCTAAACTCTTTCTTAATTGCCTTAAGGTATATTTCATTTGACTATTTAGGATGTGCTTAAAACTCGCCCACCTTGGTGATTTCATGAAAACCCAAGTCAAGTCTTCATATCTCAAATGCTTGTGATCCAACTATTCAACGACTGCATTGGAAAATAATACTATTTTTGACTGTAGACTCTAGCCCCATACTAAGACACTTTTTCAAAGAGAACACATTGCTCCAACGTTCATCACTCCACGATCTTAACTTCCCGTTTTTTTTAAGATTACAACTAAAAGCACGTCTCAAACAACATATTGTATTAATTTTTCAGTTAACTGCTCGTTTTCAAATCATTTATTTTAATTGCGTTGTAAAGCTTCAATTTTTCCCCCTTACTCTTTAGTTTGATCTTTTACTTCCTTCTTTTTAATTAAATTTTCCTGCAGACAGGAGACTTAGAGTGTATAATTCAAGCTGAAGTCAGCAAAGCTTTCTGCTTCAAATTTGCATCTAGTGCGTTTTTTACTTAAGTAACAGGCTTGCTGGTTGAATTTTTGGTTTAGTGTAAGAAGAACATACCAAACATATCAGGTGTGATCGTTTGTACCAGTCTGCACTTACCAGTTAACAAGTCAGTAAGAGCCAAACTGAAAATCAGGAGATTGTATGATGACTTTAGGAATCGGCGGTGCTGGAGTATTACAACACATAAAAAACCATTCCCACAAAACGCCATCACTGCGATAATACTAAAAAGCACCTGAAGTATTGCATGTGGGTTGCCTTGGCTTGAGCTTGTGTCTTTTCCAAGTGTGCTTGTTGACCAGTTTGTTGTTTTTACTGTTGTATTGTCCATGGTAGTCTTCAGCGAGTAGTGTAGGGTAGTGAAGTCTTCTTTTTATCTGTTTAACACGTTAAGGTACATGCTTTAATATACAACCACGTTATCTGTATATATAATCCATTTGTTTATACATTAGTTACGTTTTATAGCTTTTACCTCCTGGAGCTTTAGATGGCAAACTGAGCATTTTATGCAAATCGTCGCACAAACTAATTGCTGAAAATGTACACTGGGAAACTGAACGGGACAGGTTCCTGACATTAGTGGTTAGTTGCACGAGTCGTCGCTCAAGCTTTCACGTTTTCCATTTTCACTCCATTTCCACTCCATTTCGTGGCTTTGAAAGAACTTGTTGGTAAATGATGTATGAGCTAACTTATTTTTTCTGGAAATGAAAGCAATTCGAAAAAATGCATTTGTTCTTAGTCTTACAACTGTTATGTAGATACCGACTATGAACATTATTTTGCAGGATTTTTAATGATTTACCTATCAAGAATTCAAACGCCGACCATTTGGCAAAAAGTGTTTAAATTGATTTTTTCAGATAAGGATTTTTTGTAATTGAAAAGGCAGAACCTGACCAGAACAAAGATCATCTTCATCGATGCAGTCAAGAGCATTAGTAAGCTGTTCTGAAATTTGCAATCTATATACTGATGAGCATGCGAATAAAATTGCTTTCCTTCAAATTAGTCAGCAATGGTAACGACATCTCTGTTGAAAGGGTTAAGGTTTAATGATCGAGTGTAAAACTGAAACTCATTTCGGTTCTCTTTTTCCCATTCTTTGGGAGACAATGTTTGATGGTTTTGACTACGTAAATCACTTTTCAGTAAGGTAAGAGTTGCGACAATATATTTTTAAATTGGAACTTCGATCAAAGGGGATCTGCGAGAGGCAGCTTGCTTTCCAAGGAGTGTTTTTGTTGTTTTCCTGTCTGATTACGTGCGCCTTCAGTTTTCCTCCTTGACAAGAGATATTGTCAGACAAATTAAAAAAATTTATCAAATCATATCACTTCCAGACTAAGATTTATCACAGTCTGTTAACTGCCAAAGGGCATTTAATATTTAGTGTCTTATTCAGGTAAACTGCTATCATTTTAAATGAAATATGTGCAGGAGGTAATGTTTTCTCTCGTTTACTTGACTCACCATAGCTACAAGAAGAAATTAAGGGGTGTAGTGGATTTTTATCGATAGATAAATATCCTTTTTATGGAATATCACACTAGGAAACACCGGAAAAGGCTTCTTCTGATGTTTTTTTTAAAATGGTAATTCTCGAACATAAAAAGAACGCAATAACAGTGATACAGACGTTAAAAGATAACTGAACTTACTAAGTTTGCAAATGAACTCGCCTTGATAAAACCAACGTGCTCAGTACCACTATTCCTCTTTCAATATTACCTGGGATAAAATAAATCCAACTTTAAAAGACCAGTGTCCACACAGCAAGAAATGTGCGATCCAGAATGAAAAATAAATACAGCCACTTGACTAGAATAATTTTAAAGACAATTCCAATATCAATGTTATATCCCAGAGAATTTAAAAGTCAATAAGCAAAAGTTCGTTTTAAAGGTGCAAAAAATTAATAGTTATCGATGGTAACGATGCTGTATTATACTTGTACAACGAAATACGTCGTTGCAGATTCAGTGAATTTGTATTTTAATTTAGTGAAATATTGGTTCATTTTCACCTCTGGCTCTACCGGAAAGAAGCGTTGTGAAAATATTTGGTTAAGTTTATTTCTTAACAGACATCTAGAAATGTAAATTTCTTGCGAGAACTAATGGATGATTTCATCTCATTTTTGATTAATGCTTTACCAGACTAGGAAATATATATATTTTTTCATGAAATCCGGCTTACCTTTAATGACACTTGAGACTCAGAACTCGCAATCGGCCAACTTCAAGATCTTAAACCGGTGCCTTAAAATTCTCTCTTTGGTTATTGGACGGTGCTGTTTCTTTTTAGCTCAAACAGAAATCCTTCGCTTTTTAACTGTTTCTTTTTGTACATTAAATATGTTTCGAAGTAAGTAATTCCCAGTCGGATTACCATAAAAGTGTTCACAAAAACTTAAAAAACCCCGAAAACAAAGAGCAGATGGAATGAGTAATGTGGCAATCTATGAAATGACCTGGCAACCTTTAATGACATGAAAAATTATTTAATCAGTTCCGGCGTGATGAATAAATGATCTAGTGCACTTATCGGTTACCATGTGTGCCAATTATTATTTACAAGTGGGGAATGCATCACTGACGACCATAACAGAGTTTGCACTATTCAGCTCCAAGAAAAAGGCAGGATTATAATTTGTTCTGTTTTTTTTATTTTAAAGAAGGAATTTTTTACTTTTAGTTTTACTGT